TAATCCGCTCTCCTGCTGTTTAAGTCTTCTAAGTTAGCACAGATTTTCGCTTTCAGCATTTACCATTTTCTCGATAAAATTGTGTTCTCCAAAGAATATAGTTGTATTTTCGATCCTGCTGTGCGCGTTTGGATAGACGAGGCCCTTTCATTATTAATAGGGAATTTTGGCTGAAACATTTAAGCCGGTTTCCGCTTCAACGGAAGCATGTTTAATGATTTACGCCACCCATCGCAGGTTACGTAGCCGTAAGGAATCGCGTGATGACATAAGAACGCTTCTTTATATTGTTCCTCCCGCGCTATCCTCTGGCTTTACTGAATCTTTTCCATATACCCTCTGACCTTGTGTCCAAGCCGATATCCCCAAGAGGTTTTTGAGGGAATCAAGGTCTTACTTATAAATAAACTCTAATGGTCTCCTAACAGTTGTGCATTCCCTGACCCCGAAGGCCTGACTCATACTGCTGCCTGTCTTCAAAACGTTTATAACCCAAACCGTGATATGTAAACAGTTGGCGCAAGGAAAAACAATGGTCTGCCCTAAACGTACGCAAGATGCAGACGGTTTTTTGACTACTGCCCTACTTGCATGTTTGACCAGAGTCATTGGTATTTTTTCAGATCCTGAAAGCTCCCAAAGCCAAATCACACTTCCTTGATACCCGTGACAGGTCCATGTTTTCCAAAACGTAAAACCTTACCCTAGTTTTTCAGTAGAATCCTTATGTTTTTGATGTTCCTAACGGCCTTTTTCACTTTCTGACTCGCAGTTGCTGTCCTCTTCCACAAGACAAGTAAACTGGCGGAAAAAGGAGTCAGAGAAATTTCGCAGGTGACGTTCTGCCAGCTGTCGCGGCTCCATGGTTGTACCTGGTCAGGTTATTTGTGTGTTTACTGTTTTAGGTGTGAGTATAAGCGCGTACCTGAAGGTGTGGAGTAGGGGTGGGTTTAATTTTAGATAACCGAGGAGAAATTTACTATCACTGAACGAAAAAAAGATAAGCTAACGATGGACTAGCAGGACATAGGCCGATCGACATTCGAAAATCAAGGGACGGACAATGAGGGCGGACCCTCATTCATAGACCGCCGACGAACGCAAGTGGAAAATCAGATTTGGACATTCTTCCCTCTGGGCCGGTCATGGAAGTAGCTGTACTTAGGGAGGTGATTCAGTGAACCACTGCCTTGACTGAGATAAAGAAAGAGTTGTTTTTGTGTCCGTGCAGCCTGCTGCTCTAATTTAAGCCCTTAATGTGCTAGTCGTCGTCGAATTTTTTACTTCTGGCATGTACGAGTTTCAAAACCCGATTTAGATGAATAAAAAGGAATAATATGTTGTTGCCATGAGCTGAAAAGCCTTTCATGCACTGGTTGACAAGAACGCCTTATTTGGCAAGCGTTTATTGTCTCGAGACCCATAGCCAGCTACCAGGGCATCTAGAATTCTGCCAAAGCAGCAAAACAAACGACGTCATAGGATCTACCGAAAGTGCTGCATTGCGAGTTGTAGTCTACCACCTGCTGAGACCAGACTTCGATGGATGGTAAAAATCTATAGCCCTTTATTTTCTAGGCAAGAAGGTTCCAGCTTTACGTAAACAGTGTCCAGAATGGCAATCGAGACCGTCCAGGTACTCCTACGAAACAAGTACAATGAAACGGGGAACCGTCTCGGACATGCCCAAGTCCTTCAGCTCCTAAGGTTCTGTCTCAGGGCGTACTTCACGTCTGACGGAACAGTCTACGAGCAAGTGAAGGGAACACCAATGGGCTCGCCGATCTCGGGATTCATCGCCAAGGCGGTCCTACAGCGGTTGGAGTCGCTGGTTTTCCAACACCACAGACCGAAATTCTGGGCTCGGTATGTGGACGATACCTTCGTCGTCATCGGACGGGATCAGGTGCTAACGTTCAAAGAACGTCTCAACAGCGTCTCCCCGAACATACAATTTACGATGGAGGAGAAAGAAAATAACCAGCTGACATTCCTTAATGTCCTCGTCTTCCGCAAAGATTGTGGTGGCCTAAAGACCAAAGTGTTCAGAAAAGCGACGAACACGACGCAAATACTGAACTTCAACAGCAACCACCCAATCAGCCACAAACGCAGTTGCGTAAGAACGCTATATCGGCGTGTTGAGACGCACTGCAGTGAACCGGAAGACACTGTTGCCGAATCCCAATATCTTCAACGGGTTTGCAGAGAAAATGGTTACTCGAGCAATTTCGTCAACCGGTGTATGCGCAAACGAGACGAGCGACAAAACCGTGCCGACCCCACATTCTGGCGAGCGATGCCATACATTAAGAACGTCTCCGAGGACGTTAGCCGCCTTCTTGCATCTCTTGGGGTTGGAGTTGCACACCGACCGGAGGCCACCATGAGGCGTCAGGTGATGAGACCAAAAGACCCACTACCACGCCATGAAACATCTGGAGTCCTTTACCGGATCTGGGGCAGTTGCGGACAAAGCAACTACGTCGGAGAAACTGGAAGACTGCTCCGAACGCGAATTGCCGAACACGCCGCAGCGGTAAGGAGTAATGACACCAATTCTCAGGTCGCGGCCCATTCGACGACACCCGGACACCCATTCAAGTTCGAGGAGGCCGAAATTCTCGCGAGAGGGGATAATCGTGTGAGCCGCGAGTGGCTTGAGTCATGGTTCAACAAGTGCAACGACATGCCAACTCCATACTCCGTGCTGAGGCATAGGCTGGCCAAGGTGATTGACCACTCGGGGCGCGCGCAAGCCGGTGAGCCAGATGGCCGGGCAATCATCACGCCAACATCCAACACGGGTGATGACATTTCGGTAATTAACGACTTGCATGCCGGCCAGCAAGCAATTAGCGCACCAGCGGGCAACGATCCTTCATGAAGGGGAGCGCGGTTAATTGCTAAAGGTATGCGGTGGCATAGCGACTGCATCCTATAAATACTGCAACTTCCTGTGCACGAGTCACCCTTTTCTGCTACTGTCTCTGATGATGGATTCAAGTGAGAATCCGAAACGTCAGGCGAATAAAGACCTTGTTCCAGCAATCGCTTCTTCTTCTTCTTCTTCTTCTTCTTCTTCTTCTTCTTATTCTTCTTCTTCTGAGTGTCTAGACTTTTTCTGTCGGATTTCAGCATGGAAAACTGATGCGCAAACTGAAAGCAGTTGGCTGACTGATTTCTCTTTGCAGGGGTTGCAACCAAAATTAGTTCCCAACACCAACTGAAACTGTCCAGAATAAATTAGTTGCTTTATACCTCCCATTTGCTTATGCTGAGTTTAACAGTCGTTTATAGATTAGGGTTGCATAGGACATGTTTCTTAGATAAATGAAAACATTGAGTGTATGTATAGGTATCTGTTTTCTTTTCAATACCTGATGAATTTTATTCCTTTCTTCCCTTCTACCGTCTGTAAACAAATACTTTTGGATATGCCGGTTAAATGCAATTAGGTTCTCGTTTTTGGCTTAAACACACAAGACTAGTGAAGTTTATTTATTATTTTATCCAGGCGTCCTTTCTGAAA